TCACTCCCGGTTCACTCGGTCAAAACCCTAGTTGGTCATATGACTTTGACCAACGACTCTTTTAGGGTTTTGACTATAAAAGCAACATAACAAGAGGAATTTCCTAAGGATTTTGTTCATTTCATCAAGAAGCTTTCAAGAGAGAAACCCTAAGCTTTGTGAGAAAGTTTCAAGAGTGAAATCAATCATCTTCCTTCCTCCACTCAAACAACCTAAGATCTATCTTTGAGAAGTGAGTGTGAGTGTTATTGTGGGTATATTATAAACCCAAGAGTGCTTCAATCTTCATCTCTATCTACTCATTTAGTGAGTTCTTCAAGAGAGATAAAATCCAATTTGTTCTTCAACAAGATTGGTGGAAAACCCTAGATTGTAGATCTAGGTTAGGGTAATTGAGACTACACCCTACTACAAATCCAAGAGGTGGAATCTTGTTTGAAGACTAAGGGACTTGTCTTCATTTCTTTCAAGTTGTAATCCAACACTAATGGGAGTGGTGTAGAGTTAGAGGAGGTTCACCTTAGCTTTGGGATTCTTAATACAAGGGAGTACTTGAAGAGTGGATGTAGGCTTCATTGGCCGAACCACTATAATCTTGTCTTGTGTGGTTTGCTCTCTTTACTTAAGTTTTCGTTTTGCTTTGTTGTTTAGCTTGTTGGAAATCTCTACCTTTCATCAAACCAATCTTCTAGTTGATTTGTATTGTGGTCGAGGAAAGGGTGAGAGTGCCTCTTTCTCTACTCACCCCCTCAACTCCACAACAAATCTAGAACTAGAGTTGGATGACTTAGTTCATTGATTAAGGTTGATTTATTCATCCTAATCTAGTTGAACTATTATCTAACGACTAGGAGGTTGAGTTGATACTTAGTGTAGAGATTGAAAAATATCTTCATAGTTGTTCATCATATAGTTTCATGCTTGTTGGTATTATTTATTGTTAGTTACTTGCTTAGGATTATCTTTTATATTCCGCATTTATTTATCCTAAGCATAGTTGTCAGTGACAGTTTTTAGTCTGAGTAAGTGACAGTGTTGTCTTTGTGTTCCCTTGGGGGTGATCTTTGCTAGCTTTTTTTTAAATAGACTATTCACCCCCCCCCCCTCTAGTATATTGGAATTGTGAAATTGCATATTTACTTAACACCTCGAATCTCACGTAAGAGATTTAATTTTCAACATATTTGAATTGTGAAATCGCATGTTTTGTGTCCTAGTTAATTTAGTTAGTTTAGCTCAATTAACTAGTTTAATTAGCTAGTTTATGGTTTTATGTTCTGGTAATACATACACTCTGCTAGTTTAAAATAGTTTGCAAGTTAGTATAATAGCTTTAGATAGTAGTACATTAGATTTTAATTTAGATAATAGTCCGCTAGGATTAGTAAATAGTTCTTTCGAGTTAGAAAGTAGTGACTCGACAACTCTTTTAGAAATGGTTATCCCTGAAAAGCCACTTCGTGATCTTTGCTCCTTTGTCAACCAGACCGCCTAATTGCATCGTTTTTCCCACACTTGAAGATAAAGCTGATTTCAAACTTCACTATGGCATCATTAATATGTTGCCTAAGTTACTGGTCATGAGCGTGAAGATCCTTGTACTCATCTACAACAATTCATCCGTATATGTTCTACTCTTAATGAGAATAAGTTTGGTGTAGATGGTATTCGTTTAAGGTTGTTCCCATTCTCTCTACATAACAAAGCATCTCAATGGTTACATTTTTTAACCAGAAACTCTATTCAAACATGAGAACAATTGAATTTAAAATTCCTTACTAAATTCTATCCCATTTCTCGATCCATAGAGTTAACAAATAAAATTCAAGCTTTTCAACAAAAACATAATGAAGAATTTTATGAATCTTTGGGAAAGGTTTGGAGAGTTACAAATACAATGTCCGCATCATCAAATTCCAATGGAAACATTAGTTCAATGCTTTTACAATGGTTTAAATCCTACCACATGCGCTATGATAGAATCTATGAATGTTGGTACGTTCCTTAGTAAAACCGCAACACAAGCTAACGAGTTTTTTATTAAACTTGCGGATAACTCACAACATTGGGGAAACACTCCAAATCCTATTCCCGGAATCTATGAAGTGAAACCCTCAGCTAAAATGGAAAGTGATGGACAAGTAAAAGCTTTAATTCAAAATCTTGCTAAAAGAGTAGAAACTCCTTCCTTACAAAGTAACCTACACAATCCTATACTGAATGTTAATGAAATGTGTCAAGTTTGTAATGGAACCGATCATAATGAAGATAATTGCTCTTTCACTCCTTACAAACAACAACAAGTAAACGGTATTGGGAATAATAGAACCAATGATCCACCTCAAGGTAACACATATAATCCAACTTGGCTACTCATCTAGGATTTCGATGGAAAATTAATAACAATGTTAAACCTTTCAACCAAAACCCAAGAAACTTTCAAGGAAATAACATGAATAGAAACCCTAATGGATTTATGAGGCAAAACAATAATTTTCAGAATTATGGGAATCCTATGTATCCCTCCGGTTCAAAATCAAGACAAAGTTAAGTAACTTAAAAGTAACTATGAAGCTCTTTTAATGAAGATACTTGAACAACAAACGACACAAAATAAAATCATTGAAAGACTTGAACAAAATGTTTTAAAATAGATGTTGAAAATGAAAAAAGAAAATTCCCAAGACAACCTATCCCAAACCCAAAACCTATACAAAAAGTTTTTGAAGTTTCTACTAATAATGTCCCTATTCAACAACAAGAAGCTAAGGTAACAACTACTTTACGTTCTGGAAAGCCTTATAATAATAAAGTATTAATGCCTCCCAAAGATGACATAATGGAAATATTTCAAATGAAAAAGAAAAATGTCATTTCGAGTACAAATAAAACAATAATTGACATTAAAATCCAACAACTAGTAAGAAAAATAAGGACAATTTTTCTACCACTCCAAATGAAAAAAACATACCTTCTTCAAGTTCTAAAAAAAAAACCAATGAAAGTAACGAAGAAGTACGTCAATACATACCTAAAGCCCTATATCCACATAGACTTTTAGGTTCCGACAAGAAAGAACAATTTAATGAAATTAAGAAAATTTTCAAGAATTTACACATTGATATTCATTTTCTCACCACACTTAGAAACATGCCTCAACACTAAATATCTTAAATCGCTATGTACGGTAAAGAAAAAAACTAATGTACCTAAAGATGCCTTTTTCACTGAACATTTACCTTCCTTTGTCGAACATAATGGGTTAGTAAAATACAATATTCCGGGAAAACCTACAATAACTTGTAGACTAGGCGATAAATTTCAAGGTACCGCACTCTTAGATTTGGGAGCTAGTGTGAACTTACTCCCTTAATATTTGTACCAAAAGCTTGGACTTAAAGAACTATAACCTACTAGAATGGCATTTCAACTAGCCGATAGGTCCGTAAAATACTCACGTGGATTTGTTGAGGATATTTTGGTTAAGATTGCGGATTTCTAATATCCTGTGGATTTTGTAATCTTAGATACACAACACTCAATCGATGTTTCTAAACCAATTATTTTAGGTAGACCTTGCTTAACTACGGCTAATGCCTTAATAAATTGTAGAAATGGATCTATGTTGTTAACCTTTAGAAATTTAAAAATTGAAGTAAACATTTTTAAGATGATACAACAACATATTGATACATATCAAGCCAAATAAGTTTATAATATACAAGATATACCTTGGGAAAATATCAATGAAGAAGAAATTAAGGAATTCATTGAATATTCTGAATTTATTCATCTTAATAATAATGTTGAAAATATTTCTTATATCCAAAATGAAGAAATTAATAATTCTCTTGAATTTTGTGAAGTTGAAATCGAATCTAATGAGACTTTAATTTCAACACCACCAAGTCTAGAATTTAAACCCTTACCTTCGGAACTTAAATATGCACATTTAGATATATGGTAATTATCCTATAATAATATCATCTAGCTTAACACCCGAACAAGAGGAAAAATTAATTGATGTTAGTTATTCAAAAACATCGCTAGAAAATTAGGTGGTCCCTAGATGAAATAAAAGGTATTGACCCCGAGGTTTATTCACATCACATATACTTAGAAGATAATGTTAAAACTTCACACGAACCTCAAAGATGTCTACATCTTATAATGCAAGATGTAGTAAAAAATTAAATTCTTAAGTTACTAAATACGGGAATAATATATCCTATCTCTAATAGTAAATGGGTTAGTCCATTAAACGTGGTACGTAAAAAGGCCGGTTTCACCATTTTAAAAGATGAGGAAGATAAATTAATAACAACAAGAGTGCCTACTAAATGGAAACTTTGTATCGAATATAGGCGTCCAAATCTTGTCACAAGAAAATATCTTTTTTCTTTACCCTTTATGGATCAAATGTTAGAAAGGTTAGCCGGACATTCTTACTATTGTTTCTAAGACGATTATTCGGGTTATAATCAAATTCCTATCGCTCCCGAAGATCCAGAAAAAACAACCTTCAGTTGTCCTTTTGGCACATTTCCCTATTAGAGAATGCCTTTTGGATTATATAATGCTTCCGCAACTATTCAAAGGTGTATGTTGCACATCTTTATTGACTTGGTCGAAAGATTTATGGAAGTATATATGGATGACTTATCCATCTATGAAAAGTCATTGACCAATGTCTATCTAATCTTAAAAAAGTTTTCACTCGATGTGAAGAAAAAATTTAGTCTTAAATTAGGAAAAATGTCATTTTATGGTAACTAAAGGAATAGTCATTGGACATGTCATAACTCCAAAAGGAATAGAAGTAGACGAAACTAAACTTTCAGTTATCTTCTCTCTTCCCATTCCTAAAAATATTCGAGACATTAGAGTTTTTCTAGGTCATGCAGGTTTTTACCATAGGTTTACTAAGGACTTTTTAAAATAGCCCATCTACTCACTAAACTCTTAATGAAAGATACATCTTTTGAATTTAATAAAGTATGTGTGTCCTCTTTTGAGTAATTAAAAAATTCCTTGACTATACCGTTGGTGCAGTTTTAGGACAAAGGAAAAACAACATACCTAGTGTAATTTATTATGCTAGCAAAACATTAAATAAAGCTCAACATAATTATACAACAACGGAGAAAAAAATGTTGGCCGTTGTTTTTACTTTAGAAAAATTTAGACCATACTTGATAGGTTCTCAAACAACTACCTTCATCGATCATGCCGCTCTTAGACATCTTTTATCAAAAAAGGAAACTAAGCAAAGATTAATGAGATAGGTTATTACTCCAAGAGTTCTCTTTGGAAATAAAAGATAAAAAAAGGTTGTGAAAATGTTGTGGCCGACCACCTTTCTTGGTTAAATACAGAAAATAAGAAAAATGTGAAATTAGTGATACTTTTCTGGATGAAGATGTTTTTGCTATCTTAGAAACTCCATGGTACACGGATATAGTAAATTACCTCGTTATTGAGCACATACGAAACCATTGGAATAAAGACGAAAAAGAAAAATTTATATCTAAGATAAAATATTATTTTTGGGATGAACCATGTTTAGTTAAGTATTGCCCCGACCAAATAATACGAATGTGTATACCAAATTGGGAACAAATTGAGATTTTGTCCTTTTGTCATGACCAAGCTTGTGTGGACACTTTAGTGCGAATAAAACCACGGTAAAAGTCCTCCAAAGTTGATTTTATTTGCCAACTCTACATCGTGATGCTAATATTTATTGCCAAAATTACCACCGGTGTCAACAATTAGGAAAATTTTCTAAAAGAAATGAAATGCCTTAAAAATACATTTTGGTAGTTGTCATTTTTTATATTTGGGGTATAGATTTTATGAGTCAATTCCCTTCTTTAAACGGTTTCCTATACATTCTAGTATTATATTTCTAAGTGGATTGAAGCTATCCTAACTAAGAAAAATAATAAAAATGTAGTAACAAGATTTTTGAGAGAAAATATTTTTTCTACATTTGG